CATCCAAAATCCACTTCAAAGATGCATTTTAGCTGGGTGGACTCACCATAACAAAAGGTAAAGTTTATATAACGTATGGATACCCTACAACAGAAGGAAGAAGCGCTTTAAAAAGCCACCATAAAAGGTTGTTTTGAAATTTAAAAACCCTCTAAATAATCATATTGACCTGTATGAATATGAAAAAACATTGATTTCAAACCCTAAAAATAATACATCTCATAACATCTTATCTGGACCAACAAGTTTCAAGATTTTCTAATATTTATACATTTTCTCAGTCTATATCAACTTTAGAACTTCAAATTTCATAATTAGGAATGAAAATAGATTTTCAAGTTATTGATGATTTATGACATTACAAATTGTATGTTTTGACAAAGTTTGAATGTGCACCTTACTTTGATTATTTAAGGTTAACACCTTATACCAACTACACCCATTTTAAATGATTTCAAATCCAAAGCTGGGTCCTTCTTATACCAACTACACCCATTTTAAATGATTTCAAATCCAAAGCTGGGTCCTTCTAAAATTCTATTTTAGAGATGGATTTAGGATTTGAAACACATGCGAGATCACTCTTCAAGCATTTTCTAATTTGGACCCTTGATTTTGCAGCTTAAATAATTGTGCAGGTTTTATAATTTACAAAAAATCTAAATAAATTGTTAAATTTTTTTACAAAATATTCTAATTTTAAGGGAAATCATCAGAAATATATGTTAATTTTAACTTAATGGGAAAAAAAAACCCAACTTTCGTAAACCTCGTCTACACCATTTTTTCTCATTTTTTGTTTTTTTTACCAAAATAACCTTCATGATAGTCATATTACCGTGAAGAACATTACGGTACTTTAATTACCGTAACGTTTAGCGCATTTTATACAGTACTTTAAGTACCGTAATGTTTAGCTTATTTTATAAAGTACCATAATGTTTGCATTTTATATGGTACTTTAACTACCGTAATGTTTAATGTATTTTATATGACACATTTAATACCGTAATATCTCCAATTATAGTACTCGAACCACCAGGTGTTGAAAGGTTAAAAGAGAACAGTGGGGTAGTTCTAATGAGCTCCGATTTTGAAAGCAATTTCCCATCGAGTAGATCTTCTCTCATGAGTTGGTCCAATGGACCAGTTGATTCTCTTGACACTGGGGGTTTGGAAGAGATAAATTCAATTGATGAAGATAGAGAAAATATGGTTTGCAGAATAAGAAACTTGGATAATGGCACTGAATTCGTCATCTCGATAGCCATGTGGTAATGGGGTTTTAAGCAGGCTGAGAAGAGTGGGCTCAGATCGTTTGGTCACCATCAATGAATTGAGATATTGGGCTCTCTCCATTAGCATGCGACGAGATCTTGTATAGTCTGGCATTTCTACCGAGGGTTTGAAGAGAAAGAAGGGTTGGTTGAGAAGCTTGAGAGCAGGAACAAGCATTGTGAAGAGGAAGAAAGGGGGTAGTAGTTCCAGCTGGTCATGTAATTCTGAAAATATTGTTGGGTCATCAAAGTCTGTGAAAATTCACCAAATGCCTCAAGAGGGTGAGACTCCGCCATTGTAAAAAGCGGTGCAAGGAGTTCACTGCTCTTTAAAAGCGGAGACATTACTGTATTAAAATCGTATAAAATGCGTTAAACATTATGGTACTTAACGTAATGTATAAAATGCGCTAAACATTATGGTACTTAACGTAATGTATAAAATGCGCTAAACATTACGGTACTTGAAGTACGATAATGCTTTTCATGGTCGAAAGTTGAGAATTTTTTTTCCAATTAAGTTAAAACTAAGATACATTTTTGATAATTCCCCTAATTTTAAAAGTCATTGTCTTTTATTTTTTATTTTTTATTTCATATTCATGATCAAAGTGTAACAATCCTAAAATTTCAAAAAAGAAAAAAGAAAAAGAGAAAAGATACTTTTAAAAAGGTGATGGTCTGTTTGAGTATGATGGTCCTTGGGGACCATCACTATTTTCAAAAGTTTTTA